GAATTTCTTTACATCTGGGATGTTTTGGCAGGTACCAATTTAAGTGAGTTCTTGATCTTATGGGTCTTAAATAACAGAAAATGGTGTTTATTTACAATTAATGCATGATTTAAATACATTTACATTCCTCACATAGAGCCAAGTTATCTTTATCTTTTACTTTTAAAATGTGATAACTTAAAACTTTTAAGCTAAAACAGAATAAATATTTTCCTCTTTTGAATTTATATTCCTAAAAACTATCAGCAGACGTATGAAGCTGACCATTTTCCTCCTGGTGTTGATAATCAGCCAAACTGATGAAATGTGGATTAAAAATAATGGATCAGCTAAAAGTTTTCAAATTTGATACAAACCGAAATAACTTTTTCATTCTGTAGCCTGGAATTCGAGCTACTTTCCCTCCTTTTTAATTTATTCTCCGCCGTCTCCCGCACTGATAAAAGAGGCGAACGCGGCAACAGCCGAGTTATGATTTACATTATAGGTATGTTGAATATTATAATCACTCGTCTTTAGATAGATTCAAGCTGTACTTCCTGTCAGAAGGAGTGTAATAAATTCTTGCATGAGGATTTTTACTGAGAGCAACAGCCTCGAACTTTTACACGAGCCGCCACGTCTTTTCGCTCCCCTCCTCACGCACTTTTCGTTTCATTCGGATCGTTTTCACAGGACTTCATTTCAAGTCTGGAGGAGAAAAAAATGGGGGGAAAAAAGTGGAAGAATCCCTTTGGCTGGAAATACTTAAGATTTATATTTAAATTTTCATGGAATCTTTGAGAACATTGAGGAGCAATTTCACATTTGCACTGACATCTAATTTCTCAAGTAGAGTCTGAAAGCACAAATTGCCGAGGATTCCCTGTGTGCCCAATTGTCCGGCATCAATTTCCTTGACCCTGTGGATTGCTGGTAAATTAATCATATGACTTTTTTCTTTTTGGCCTCTCTTTTCTCATGCAGTACATGCACACATTTGATAAACTAATCATATTTGGTCGGTTTAACTAAAAGAATTACGTTTAGAAAAAGAATCGCAGAAAAACTCAGAAGTTGAACACAGTTCAGTCGCATAGGGTCACTTAAAACTATGAAAAACGCTTTTGATATAATTTAGCAAAAACAATTGTTTTCCCTTTTTTTATTAAAAACTGAAATCCAACGCTCTCAAAAATATTTAAATTAATTTCAAACCAAAACTATTTGCATTTTTTTCTGTATTTTGAACCTCCACTGTCCACTAATTGATGTGTAAAACCACATAATAGCCGATAAAAACTCTTCCTTATATTCATTAAAAGAAATTAAAGCAAATTATTTTTAAAAATTCCCACATTTAAAACCCATAAAATGAAATGTACCTCAGAATAAGCTTCAAACATCCAGTGTAAAAGGAAATGTTTGCTCGTTTTTATATAAAATACAGCAATACATAAACTATTTTTGAAAACATAAGAGAAATTCTGCAAGTTTCCCATGTTTTGAACCTCAAACCGTTGGCGTGTGACTAAAAATAAAAGCAAAAACGAAAACAAAATCATAAAATAAGAGATAAATATAGACATTATATTAAAATGTTAAAATCAGAAGAAAGTACTTGTTAAAGTATTTGCTATTTTCCCCATTTTAAACCTGTACAGCTCATCAATTGGCATGTAACCCAGAATAATCTATACATATATATAACTCACAAGATATCAGAGAATATTTTTAAAATACAGGATAAATTTAGAAAAATTTAAGCAAAATTTGTAAATTTCCCATGTTTTGAAATTGTTCTGTAACTGGCTAATAAACACTTTCTCAGCTCATATATTTAAAAAATTTAAAAGCTACGTGAGCTGCATTATAAAGCTATTAAAACCACAGGTAGCACACCTTCTCCCATAAATGAACAGAGAATAAAGGTCAATTCATTTAAAAACAAATCGTATGGAGAGCAAATATGACACCATGAGGCCGTTTGTGTCAAACTGAGGCTTTTTAACTGACAGAAATAAGGGGAAAATGCAGCAGGAACATCGTTTCTGATTGTGAAATGAAACTATTTTTAATCATCTTCAGTTCCCTTGTTAGTAAAATACTTCTAGAAACCCAGAATGAAGCACCTGAATCACCTGTGATTGCTGACTGGCTCCAGGTTGCCGGGTTGCTCTACCTGTTGATCCCAACATGGACGGAGGAGGTTCTGGAGTCGGATTCTGGAGCAACAGTGTCCTCTGGTGGGACAAAGACAGAATTCAGGAGAAAAAGAAAAACACACAGGATGATGATGATGATGATGATGATGATGATGATGGAGGGTTGAAACCAACCATCAGGGTTTGGGTTTTCCGGTGACACCAACTCGTTATTGTGGAGTCAAACGTTTCGTTCGCCAGAAAAATAAATTAAATTACTATTTAATTTATTTAAATAGTAATTTATTTAAATTACTATTTATTTAAATAGTAATTTAAATAAATAGAATCTACATTACATTTGTAATGTAGATTCTCAAGTCTTACACTAACACTAACGCTGCCTGACCTTTTGAAAAAAAAAAAAAGACAATTTATAATTTTTTTATATATAAATTTATCACAATTTCTGGATAAACGCCATTTTATTTCTAGTCTTATGATTCATAATAAAGAAAACCTTCGGAAAAAAGAAGCTGAATAAATTTTTTACTATGGGATGTTGCTAAGCATGATGCTTCCACCTCCATGTTTCACCTTTGGGATGGGATGGCGGTTTTGTTGTTACAGTTACACTTCACTCTCTAGTGGCCGTTGTCACTGACACACAAACAATTAAACATAATTACTTTAAATAGGCCTTTTTCTTCTGTGTTTTAGAATAACTAGGGGTGTACCGAACAAATTCAGAATTGTTTTAAAGTTTGTTACATAACACTAAAACAACTCCCAGATATGAATAAACTCCAATATTTAAGGAGTATTGGTGACAAATACTCAACTGAAACTGAGATTAAGACGAATATAAGTATCACTGCTACTGGAGAAAAATGAGCTAATGCCCAAACCCAGCTGCCCGTGTTTCCATTCAAATCAGCCTAAAATGCCGCACAGCAATTTAGTGACGCAAACATGTTTTATCTTCAAATATCAGCAAATTATTACTTCAGCTCTAAAGTGTAACACAAATTAATTTAACTAAATTTTAAATTAAATTAAATGATGTGTATTCATTGCCAATAAAAGTGCTTGTATCTTTATTGTAAATTTTGCTACAATATCGACTTTTTTTTAATGGAGGAAATTTTTACCGCGTCAGTTTCTCCGCACAGAAAAATACAATAAAACTACAGAAATGATCAGAAAAGTGTTAGGAATCATCATATAAGTCCTAGGGATTATCATAAGACACCGGGAAACATCAAAAACACAAGAAAACATTCGAAAATATTCCGAAATTTAGCTTACCTAGCGTTTGAGCTAGCCAAACACCGTTTTTTATCACTTCCGGTGCCTTGACCAATCAGAATTCTCGAAAGAGATGCGTCTCGGCGTCCAGCCAATCAGTGACAAACACTTTTGAATTATTGAAAAAAAGAAAACGTCAGCTCAAATTGTCAACGGAAAGATCCGCAGTTTGTGGTTTCCAGACTGCCTTTTAATGGCAACATGTCCGACGAGTTTAATAGCTAAAGTTAGACTTGATGAACAAAACAAACAAACAATAAATTGTAGTGCAAAACATTGAAGACGATCTTTATTGTTCACAGTTAAACACAAGCCACTGCTTTATGAACTTCCTTGTTTTTGCCGTTTTGTCCCAGATGCTCCGGCTCCGCTCGGAGTCCTGGTTGTCGTGTGTTTGTGCTGATTGTACCTCCTGTTGGTGGTTTCCTGTCGTTTCTACGGTTGGCATTTAAAGAGGATTGTTGAACATGCTTCAGATAGCGAGGCAGAAGAAAATGACAGCAGGAATTCCCAGTGGACAACAGGCTTTTCATGATCAGTTCCAGAAAATTAAATAAAAACTAAGAAATGCAGGAAACCCATTGGACCATATGTTTGGAATCGCCATCATTGTTTACATGGAAGATAGAAATGCTATGAACCAGTAAGTACACTGTGTATCAAAACAAAACCACTGGATCCAGGAGAAGTGGGATATTGAGTTTGTACATTCAGCCGGCTTTCCTCGGGATGTTTTGGCAATATTTTCTTCCTGACCATTAAAGCTGGAACGGAAATGTTTCAGATTATTAATACTCCTACATTTTCCAACAAAGCCAGTAGAGAGTCAACATCTGGAAAACCTTCAGCCAGGACTCTTCTAGAGTCGGAAATCATTTTAAAAACTACTGAAATATTTCATTTTGGATTTTTTGTTGTTGTTCTTTTACTTCATAATCCAAACTTTTTTAAAAAAATCTCTAGAACCAACCTGAGCTTTCTTCAAGGAAATTTGGAAATTCCTTAAAAGTTACAGTTGTAACTTTATAAAAGTATATATTTTTTTACATATTTGCTGAAACTGTCACTATGCCACGACAGTTTGGTATTAAGTGGATAATCTGTGAAAAAATTTTAGCTCCTTCCATTGCTAACTAGAAACAACCAGTCAGAGCCAAGAAGCAGGTCTTGGCGTTGCCAATCAATCTTGCGTGGTGCTGCTCATACCCACTTTGGTCTAACACACTCCAGCTAGCTTAACATGTTGTGAATGCTCAGGCTGGTTAGCATAGCCACAGATGACAGTTTTCTTCACCATTAGCACATTTAGCAGTACTGATTGACAGCGCTAAGCCCTTCCTCCTGGCTCTGATTGGTTGTTTTAGGCCAGGGAGGAAGTGGAGAAAATCAATCTTTTCACAGATTATCTGTCTGATAAAACACTGCCACGACATGATAGTTTTAACAAATATGTAAAAAAAAAAAAAAAAATTTTTAATAGAAGTTGCATATTGTAGCTTTCAGTCATTCCCAGAAGTTTTTACATTTTATGACTCAAATGTTCTGCATGTTTCATTTTTAAATTTTTTATGGGAATGATTTAAAAAACAAAAAGAGGAAAAGAGAAGCAGGAAATCCTGTTGTCCACTTAAGAGGACAAATAACACTGAATGCCAAAGAGTTGCGGACGTGTGACTCTTCTGCTGATTTGTAGCTTTACTCCGTTAGTTTCTCAGTTCTGCGTCTTTAACTGTGCTCGTGATGCATTTCGTTGTAGTCCATGATCTTTAGCTGTTGCCGAGGGCGACCGGGCCCCGAGGGGCCCCTGACGCCACCCTGCCCGGGCCCGGCTTTTCTGCGAGGGCTGCCCTGGCCGAGTGGTCGCAGTCTGGGCTCGGGCGGTGGCTCCTTGGCGTGCACAGTGACGGCAGCTGGGCCGGCCGGACCCGGCTCCACGCACAGCTCGGTCTTCAGGCCGTGAGCGAGGCCGGCGAGGCGCGGCGGCGGCGGCTGCTCGTCGTCGCACTGGCTCTCACTCTTGTTGCGGAAAAGCTCGCGCGCCTTCATGCCCAGGAAGCTCTTGGCACTGGGGTAGGAGCCCACGGTGAGCGGGGCGTCCGCGGCCGGCAGGGCGGCCGGCGGGGCGGCGTGGGGGCACGGCGCCGACGGCTCCATCAGCAAGGGCGGCGTCAGGTCCTGGCCTCCGTTCATGGAGCTGGCCGGGGGCGAGGAGGAGCCGCTCGCCTTCGGTTGCCCCGGCGATAAAGTGCTGCCATTCGTCCCCCGTGGGGAATCGTGAGGTGATGGGCTGTTTGGCTGCTCGACGGCGTGAAGACCGCCTGGAGCGGTGGCGCTGGAGGGCAAAACGAAAAGAGAGGGAGGAGTTTACCAACAGAAAGAAAGACGGAAGGACAAGACAGAAAGAAGAATATATGAAAAGATACAAAAAAGGAGGAAAGAGTGAAAGAAAGATATATTTTAACAAAATATTCATTTACTATAATAAAGTGCACAGAATACAATTAAAAACACAAGATATTCACATCAGGACAAGCTTTAAAAACAGGTGGAAGAAAGAAAGTGATTGAAACAAAGAAAGGTACAAAGAAAAAGGAAAAAAGTGATATAAAAAGATATTAAAAGTAGCAAAAAGATTAAAAAAAGAATAAAAATATATGAAAGAAGGGAAGAAAGAAATTAAAGAAAAAAGAATGAAAAAGTCCAAAAGAAATTGAAAGAAGAAAGAAAAAAGAATGAACGAATGAAAGACAAGACAGAAAACGAAGAATAAAGGGAGGTAAAAAAGAGAGAAACACACAGAGAGAATAAAAAGAGAAAAATAAGAGGAAATGAGAACAAGACAGAAAAAATCCTAAAAAGACAAAGAAAGGAAAATGAAAGAACTACAATGAACTACAATGAAGAAAAAGTATAGAAAGAGGGAGAAACTGACAAGAATAAGAAAAAGGGATGAAAAAATAAAACAAAAACCAAAAAAGAAAGACAAAAAGACAGAAAATCAAAAGAGAGAAAAGAAAAAAAAAAGAAAGAAAGACTCATCCAGGTTGTCGGTAGGAAGTTTTTAACCCAGATTAAATCACTAATATAGGTATTAACTGATGAATCTCTGTTTTTAGCCTCCCTGACCTGCAGTCTGGATGCCTGCGTGTCTCCGCTCTGCCCCCTGGTGGTGAACTGCTGCCGGTGGCGGCGGCCGGAGCCTCCATCTCCACCCGGCTGTAGAGCTGCAGCAGCTCGGTCTGCAGCAGCTGGGTGACTCTCCTCTGAGCCTGGAACCTGCAGTCTGACGCCTGCAGCTCCGCCCTGCACACGAAACGAAACAAAAGAGACGAGGTCAGAAAGGAACCGGGTCACAGAGGACGTCGGATCAGAGGCGGACGCTCACTTGGCTTGGCATTTCACGTCCTCCAGGAACTTCTTCTGCTCGGCGATGAGGTGCTCCTTCTTGGAGAGGAGCGTCTCCAGCTCGGCCGCTCGCTGCTGCGCCGCCTCCAGCTTCTGGCCCTGGGCCAGCAGGCTCTGCCTCAGGGAGTCCACCTCCTTCATGTGGGACATCCGCAGCATCTCCGTCTCCTAGCAACAACCAGGAACAGCTGCTTCAGTGGAACAACATGCGGCGCGTGGGCCATTTGTGGACCTTACACTGACGGTTTTTGTGGTCCCAAGTGGAGTTTAAAAATGACACAAATTTGTTTGTTGAACTTTTTATTTTTCTTAAGAGTAGAATTTTATTTAACAATTTTCTCACAATAGAAAATGTTAATTACAGGACATGATATTTGTCTTTTTACAGGAAAACTTTTCTAATAAATAGAACTCTCAGACCAGAGGCATTCACTGAAAAGCCGACTTTGTTTTAATTTAATTTATTAAACTTGACCAAATATTACAATAGAAGATTAGGGCCACCGTAAAAAAGAAAGAAAATAAAAGAATTCAGAATTTTCTCAGAATTTCCCATAATTTTTTTAGACTCCAACTTTTTTCCTTGGAATTCCAACTTTACTATCAGAATTCCAACTTTTTCTGTCAGAATTTCAACTTTTCCTCAGAATTACACGTAGAATTTTTTTCTCAGAATTCCACCCAAACAGTATTTAGTATAAATGATGGTGAAATATGTCTAAATTGTCTCTGTAACAAGGTTTAATTTTCTCTATCCATTAAAAACATATCTATAATACTAATGAAGAACAATAATAAAGGATATCTGGGTAAATATATCAAACTACTTCACTGTGATTGGTAGACAATATGTTTTCGCTACAGTGTGACACACACACACACACACACACACACACACACACACACACACACACACACACACACACACACACCTGTTGTGGCTGTCGTACCTTTGTCTTGCTCATGCCTGGGTGCTGGGCGTCCTGCATGGACAGCTTATGCGCCTCCCCCAGCAGCAGCAGCTGCTTGTTCAGGAAGCTCATCTGCTGCTGGCTGCTCTCGCTGTTGCTCAGCTGAAGGACGAAGGAGACAAACAGGGACAAGGAAGGACAAACGGCCAATTAGGACACAAATAAGGACGATGTCGGCTTTAAGGAGGAGGACAGAACTCAAGATGTTTGCCTCATTCATCAATATTTCTACATAGTGGTCAAGAAGTACTACGTTACCCACAATGCTCTGCTTCAACATTTGGACAACAAAAAGAGGAAATGAATGAATGGATGAATGAATGGAAACGTTTGGGTAACTAAAAAGTGGAGATTTATAGAAATTAATTCTTCTTCTAATTTGTTTTTCCAACTTTATTGAGACCAGAAAAAGTTTCACCAGCAGTGAAACTGAAACCTGTTTGTGTTGCTTTAAAGCAGAAACCAGTCCGTTTCCCCAGTCTGAACTGGTCCATTACTGGCTTAAATAAACTCCAGCATGCGAGTTCAGTATAAACTCAACAGATTTCTATGCTGGGATCATTAAAGCCTCTATAAGAACAGACAAACGTTGTGACTTCACCTCGTCTTCTGTCTGTTAAACTGAGTTTTCCTTGGTATTCATCACAGATTCGGTTTAATAAATGGACCAAACTGTGACTCTACCTTGACAGTCATCTGGTTGAGCAGATGCCCGGTGTGGCCCACTTTGTTGTTGGCCGTCTGAAGCTCCGCCTCCAGGTCGTCCATCCTCTTCTGGCACTCCTGTAACTTGCTCTGTGGAAGCCGTGAAAACGGTTAGAAACCCCGACGAGAGAACGGCGTTTGTTTGGTGCCATCTCAGCGTTTCGGACCTGCAGCTCCTGGTTCTTGGTGTAGTAGTCGTCGCGGCTCTGCTGCAGCTGCCGGATCTGGCTGTGCAGGCGGGTCACCACGGTCTCACGGTCGTCCCACAGCTGCCGGTAGCGCTGCTGCTCCACCTGCAGGCTGTCCCTCAGAGACACGATGTCCACGCTCTGCAGGTTCAGCTGGTCCTTCTGCGCACACACGCACACACACACACACACACACACACACACACGTCGCACACACACACAGACACACACGCACGTGGAATAAGTTTTTTGGTCCCCAACTGCAGTTCAATAATGATACAAACTTGTCTATTGAATGTTTTATTTTTCTTAAGACTGAATTTATTATTTGCACAATTATCATACGATGGAAAATATTAATTACAACACATTTTTGTCTTTGTACAACAAAATGTTTAGAATAAGTAGGACTGCATCTAAACAGAGGCAGCCAAGTCAGATTTCATTTCATTTAGTAAACTTGGCTAAACAAAACGATAAAGATTAGTGCAACTGAAAAAAAATCTTACTTTAATCTCTTTTTTTCTGAAAATTCTGACTTTATCTCAGAATTCCGACTTTTTTCTAAGAATTCCGTCGTTTTGCCAGAATTCTGACAGTTTTTAAAATTCTATTTCAGAATTCCGAATTTTTCTGTGAATTCTGACTTTTTTCAGAATTCCATCTTTTTTGTCAGAATTCCGACAGTTTTTTTAAAAAATATTCCAACTAACTCAGAATTCTGACTTTTTTTCTCGGAATTCCAACTTTTTCTCAGAATTTTGACATTTTCAAATAGAATTTTTTACTTTTTTCTCAGAATTTGGATGTTTTTCTCAGAATTAAGATTTTTTTTTCTCAAAATTCCCACTTTTCTTCCACTATCAATTATTTAAATACTATGCGCACCATTGGGCAAGTCTAGTCTTAAAACTGAACTCTACCGGATGGATTTGGAACAAACTGTCAGTCTGGATAAAATGCAGATTTACAAAGAATAAACAGCCACATGATTCATTTCATGAACTGTCATCATAACTGACTTGGCTATTTATTTGGATTTTGGCTCATAGATCGATACAGAACTAAAATCAGAATTCAGATTTTAAAAAGTCAGAATCCCGTTCTGTTTGTTTTCAGTGGCCCTACTCATCTGCAAGCATGACAAAAAGATACTTTATAGTTTATATGGAAGATAAACACCTGCTAGCCCAGTTTTATTTACTTTAGCTTAGCAGCTGCCTGTTTCTTGGAAAGCGGCTAAGAAGTAGTAAAGAGTTGAAACTTGCCATTGCGTTGTTCTGCTCCTCCAGCGCCGTGGCGTTGATGATGCGTCGGAGGAGGCGGCGGTTGCGGACGGCGTGCTGCTCCCTCTTGTAGCGCTCGTACAGCAGCTGGTTGTGCAGCAGCAGCAGCTGGCTGCGCAGCGTGTGGAGCTCGTCCAGAGGAGCCGAGCCTGACAACAAAAATTTAAAAAAGGAGATGAAAAATGACAGGAAATAGTTTGAAAAATGACTTTTCTCTCAGTCGTTCGTCTCGCTAAGAGAAGGTTTGTTTAAATGCAAAAAGAAAGGGATGATATTTGTAGAATAAAGCCACATTTTTACCAGAATAACATCTTAAAATTATGAAGAAAAAAAGCTTCCAGTGTTATTGAGATTTTTTTGTTATTTTTTTGTGTTGGACTTCTCAAAAAATACTCAATTCTCTTAATATTACGACTTTTTTCTAGTAAAATTTACATTTTATTTTCGTATTATTTGAACTTTTTTGTTGTACAACTTTATTCTAGAAAAATAATACATTCTTAGCCTGACATCAACATAAAAACTAAATATGAAGGGTTTTTTTAACCAAGTGCCCATTTTAGGAGTCTGTATGCTCCTGTTAACATTTTATTGGTCACCAAATTAGTTGACAATTTTTGCAATAATCGATTAATCACGATTAATTTGATTAATCGGTTTAGTCCTATCCGAGTTCTACACAACTTAAAGAAATCAAATCTGGCTAAGCATAAAAAGTAAATATAAACGGGGATTTATAGCAAATGGCCTTTTTTGACTCTGTATCCTCCAGTTAAATAATCATTTACTAAATTAGTTGAAAATTATTTCAACAATCAATTAATCACGATTAATATGATTAATCGTTTCAGGCTGAATAAATCCTGATCCAGTTTCTCATCTGCAGGCCTGCTTCTCATTAACTACTGCAGTTAATGATTAATAATTGCTAAATTAGTTGACGGTTATTTCAATGATCGATTAATCGTTTCAGGAATACTTCCTGAAAGCTCGGTGAGTCCTGAAACATCCTCTCACCTGCAGGCAGCAGACTGAGCTCAGTAGAAATGACATGACTTCCATCAGGAAAACCAGGGAGGTTTATTAAATTCCAGAAGATTAATTAGAGTTTTATGTTGTTGTGGGCTGCAGCTGGAGAAAATGGGATTCTTGTGGCCTGGCATCCAAACAACAGAAGCCGAGTCATCTCTAACTGGTCGGCTTTTTCATTTCAGAGGTGGAGGGATTCATGAGAACTGTGGGAACGTTGTTTTGATCAGCCTGAGCTGAAAAGAGAAAACTCCCTGTTCAGCTCGGTAACACTTTAACATACCACTCATGTCTCAGAGCATGTGACCCATCACTGGCGCTCCTCTGATAGCTTCTCACTGACTGCAGAGCCCAGAAAAACTCTACTTTTACTTTAAGTTTAACTCAATGTCTCATAAAAATCCTTGTTTTTTGTTGGTTTCAAACAGAAAAACTTTCAGTGATTTATTTCAAGAAGAAAAACATTTTGAGTGACGTATGCTTGCAGTCAGTACCGGCGTTTCCATTAAAAATGTGTGCAAAACTTGTCAATTTTTGCACTAATGTCGAAAAAACACAATTGCAAGAAATGCAGTTAAAATCACATGTGAATAAGTTTGTACGTCAGAGGTGTCAAACTCACTTTTATCTTGGGCCAAATTAAGATCATGAAAGATCTTTCAGAGGCGGTTGTGCCAGAATGTATTGATAAACTATCAATAAATATCAGTCTCTCTGTTTTATAAATATTGAACATCTGTCCAAACCGTTCCGTCCCTACAGAGTTTTGCAACTGTTTTTGTGATTGTTTTGAGATTTTATGGAACTAATTAAAAAATATTTGCAAGTAATTTTGCAATATTTGCGCTTACATATGACGTTCCATGTGACTTTTTGTCATAAAAGTAAGAAATAACTGACTTCTACAGTTAGTGTCACTTAAACCCAACATTTTTCTACATTTTTGCAGAAAATATGCAATAAACTTAGTTATGCTTTAGCATAAAAAATCCTGGGATCTGTTGATTTTATGTGAATTTCCATAATCAGGGTCTGGAGTCTACAGGGCCACACAAACAGCTACAGCGGGCCAGATTTGGCCCCCAGGCCTCGAGCTTAACACATGCACAATAAGTTATTAAAAAAACATGCCCTTCAACTACTTCCTGTCTTCTTTTTTGTCATTTCCCCCAGTAGCAACATCCGGTTGCTGATCATGTGACTCATGTGAGGCAAAAGTGTTTTTTCCATTGCATTTTTGAAAAAAAAAAAAAAAAAAAAAAACAAACATAAAAAAAAAATTCAGAACATTTCAGCGTCTCTCTGTGTTTACAACATGACCAGATTGACAAAAGATTTAATTCCACAAACATTCTGAATCTGCTAAACTACCTGCTGGTTTATTCACTTTATATTTGTTTCTTTTTGTTAATTTTTAACAACAATCTGTTGAAAATTGAACAGAAAAGTTCAGCTCCTCACCTCCAAAGTGAGTCCAGTCAGCTGACTTACTTGGCAAAGGTAATCTGTGAAAGGACAAGACAAACAAAAACAAGTTCATCGAGATTCACTGCAGCTGGAAATAAACAACCACACCAGAAACTGGACCAAAATTAATTGGTAAGATTTTCTGTTTTTGCAGTTTTCTGCCAACAGGAGAAAAAATCTTATTTTCTTTTTTTTTTTTAGTAAATATGTCACCATTTGTTTTTCAGAATTATTGTTTATACCATAAAACCTGTGATTTTATTTCAATATATATCGTTTAGTCAAAATTCACATTTTTACCTTATTAAAAAGTTAGAACTAAAGTAAAGGGAAACATGTTGGTCCATTATATGCAACTCTGAATATTTAATATCAACTGATGTTACGTTTAATGACAGTAAAAATATTAAAGAACAGATAAAACAATATTTTCATCAACTGCAAGCGTCACCTCTTGAGGACTTTGTCGTGTGCGTCACTCCCCTGCTGAACAAGGCGATCCAGCACCTCCAGTGGCGAAGCCGACACCACGCCCTCCTCCTCCCCGTCCTCCAGGCCCTCCTCGCGCTGCAGCAGCCTCTCCATCGCCGCCTTGTGGACCGCCTCCGACGTCTTCTGGCCCACGAACAGCGAGGCGGCCCTGGGCAGGGCCAGCGCGAACAGCGACTCGTACGGAATCGGCGCTTTGCCGCACGGGCTCGGGGAGAACATCTCAAACTTGGAGGAGTCGTCGTCGGGGGCGGAGGGGCTCCGGAGCAGGTGGTGGTCGATGGGGGTGAAGCCGGACTGGAAGGACCAGGACCGATCCACGGCGGACCGATCCGACGCCGCTGCTCTGTCGCCAGCGCCGCCGCCGCCGCTGCCTGAGGTGCTCTCGGCTCTGTCCGGAGTGGACGCGGCGTAGCGCGGCTCTCTGACGGCGCCGCCTGGGTGGGCGTTGGAGGAGGAGGTCGGGTTCTGCGTCTGGCGGCCCGTCAGAGTCTCAGTGGTGTGGAAGAAAGGAGAGTCGTAGCCTCTCAGCCCCGGCAGCTCCTGCTTGTCTTCAGTGAGTTTCATCAGCTCCTCTGTGATGGCAGCTGCAGCGGAAACACAAAGAAATTCATGATTAATCTGATTAATCAATGACACACTGTGTTTCGCTTGTATAATCACAATAGTGTCTGCTGTAAATATCTTAGTACACTTGAAATAAGACTAATTTATAAGTAACAGCAAGATATACAAGCTTTTTTAAGTCAACAATGATGAAAAAGTTCTAGTTCCATTAGTAGAAAATTCCACCGCCGTTACCTAGCAACCACAGCCACGCCCAGCCTGTTACCTAGCAACCACAGCCACGCCCAGCCTGTTACCTAGCAACCCAGTTCTAGTTCCATTGGCAGATTATTTCACTTAAAAATTTTTGGTGGTGGTTCCCTTGTTATAAATCCAATAATCTGTAGTGGAAGTTGTGCTTTTTCATCAATATTGACTTAAAACAAGCTACTATTTCTTGCTCAAAAGTTTCTTCTAAGTTAGTTTTGCCCTTAAAACTTTATTTGAAAGGTTTTGCATAACACTGACATGACCATGAAGGAGTGTCAATGAATGTTTTTGGCTGTTGTCATGAAGTGCCATTCGGTAAATAAAGACACTTTTAATGTGACTTTGCATGATTTTTCATGGCCACATTGTTTTGCACCACAGACTGACCTTCTTCTCTCTCCTTCTCCGTTCTCAGCTGAAGGTCCAGCTCCTGCCTCGTCATGAAAACCGACAGCTCCGTCAGCGTCATGGTGACATTCGCTGCACTTTCTGCGTCTGATGAGGAAAAAATAAATATTTAAAGACGGCGGATGTCTGAAGAAAACGCTTACAGAAAACAGACAAGGTTTCACAGATTCTGTGCTTGATTTTAGATAAGGTATGGTAAAAACAAAGCTAAACTACGCTAAAAATAAGCTAAGCTAAGTCAAGCTAAGTTAAGATATGATATGATACTGAGGTGAAACGAGCTAAGCTAAAATAAGCTATGATACAACACAATAAGGTAAAAATAAGCTAAGGTGAAATAAGTTAAGTTATAATAAGCTATAAATAAGGTAAGCAAAGGTAAGACTAAGAAAAGCTAAGTTATCTAAGCTAACTTAGCGTAGCATAACTAACCTAAGTTAGTTTAGTTAACTAACTTAGGCTAGTTAAGTTAGTTGACTAACTTAAGTAGGTTATGTTAGCTAACTTAGGTTAGCCTAGCTAAGTTAGCAAAAGTTAAGCTGCTTAACCAAGATTAGATTAGCTATAATACAACACAATAAGGTAAAAATAAGCCAAGCTGAAATAAGTTAAACCAAACTATACCAAGAAAAGCTAAGACATAACACAATATGGTAAAAACAAGCAAAGCTAAGGTGAAATAAGCTAAGATAACACACAGCGTAAACTAATACAAAGATAAGCTAAACCAAGATAAGCTTAGATAGGATGACACAATAAGAAAAACAAGCTAAGCTAAAATAAGCTAAGCTATGCCAAGATGAGATAAGATGTGATAATGTAAAAAGAAGATAAGCTAAAGGGAAACAAGCTAAGATAACCTACAAACAATGTAAGTTAAGGTACAAATAAGCTAAGTTAAATAAGCTAAGATACGACACACTAAGGTAAAAATAAACTAATAGTTCAATTAAAGCTTCAGAGATGTATAGGAACAGGCTGGTTACCAGTGTGTTCTCTGTATCCTGACCTGGTTGGAAGTGTTAACCTTGTTTCATTGATTTATGGGATCAGGTCCAGCTTTTACTCACCTCTGTTTCCAGCTCCCTCTACACTCTTCTCCATCTCTCTGACTTGCTCCTGTCTCACCAGTCCAGGCTTGCTGCTTTCTCCTTGTCGACGATCCTAGAAAAAAAAAAAGTTAAATTATTCGGACTTCATTGAGTTAATTCCTATATGGTAACCTAACAGCGATGGACGAAATGTTTTGGCAAACATGGAACAGATTAATGCATTATAGCCTTAAAATACAACTAAAATGTGTTTCCACACAAATATATGTACAAGTTGTTTCCATCTGGGCAACAAAACTGTAAAGTACAAAGTTTTGAACAACTGAAGTGCAGTTATGGTCACATTTTCAAGCTACAAAAACATTTTTATGTCTGTCAAACTTTTGGCCATGACTGCATTCCTGTTCCACAGAGCTGTTAATAAAACAGACGGGGAGTTTTCATACTTTTCTCGGCGGACTGGACTGGACCGTGTTGGCTGGTAAGGAGATTACAGGGAAGTCATCTGACAGAGTGGGAGGTGGGGATGAGGTGGCTGGAGTGCTGGAGGCCGGCGTTCCTTTTCCTCCTGCTCGGAGCGAAACAAACGAATTCAGGCGCGGCGTTGAACGTCGCGGAGCGATGCAACGGCGCGGCGTTGGTTCTGTACCTGACGTGCAGTGGAAGCGGCTGGGAAGGTGTGAGGCACTGTGGGAGAGCTCCAGGTTGGGCGACATGCCCCGGGAGGAAGGGGGCGTGGCCATGCCGCACAGAGAGGAGGGGCTCCACAGGGGGTCCTTCCCCCCACAGGAAGAGTTCAGTTCACTGTTGGAGTTCTGCAGAAACAACGGAGGACGATTAGGACCACAGGTAAAAAGAAAAGAAAGGAATCTGGAGATTTTCTCAAAATTCTGACTTCAATTTTCTGAGAAAACAAAGTCAAAATTTTGAAATCAAAAAAAGAATTTTGAGGGGAAAAAAGTTCTAATTTTGACAAAAGTTAGAATCCTGAGATTAAAATCAGAATTTTTAGATAAAAGTCAGACTTTT